CATTCGAGCGTGAAAACCCTGCTGTAAAAGGATTCTTTGATCGCTCTCGAAGAATCTCTGAACAGAAATTCATTTGAAAATCCAGTGAAGAGTTAGCGACTAACATGGATATTCCATCCTTCTTTAACGAGCAATTTCACCAGTCGAAGACTCCCAACTTGGGCGGCATGATGCAATACCGTATAGCCGTATTTGTCATGATGATTTCGATCCGGTTCAAAGTTGTCAAGGAAGAATCGTACCATTTCCTCTTGATCAGCAATGACAGCCCACATAAAACACGATCGACCATCACTGTCATACTGATCCTGAAACTCACCAAACATCACCTGGGCAGAACAAACTTTATACACATTTAAAAAATGTTGTGCTCTAAAAGAACCTAAAATTTCCGACAGAAATTGAGAAAAAATTTCAATTTAACGGAAAATTCGTTGCCGCATACTTCAATATGACGTTTTCAACAATTTTTAAAAATTCTCAGCTCCAATCACATCAAATTTTTGAATTCGGATTTGGATCTGCAAATTCGATTAAATTGAAAAGTGTTACGGAAGCAAATACACTCTCGATAATGTTGACCAGCAACCAACCATGCCACCAACTGAAGCAAGAATTACACTCTCGATAATGTTGACCAGCAACCAACCATGCCACCAACTGAAGCAAGAATTCGGTTCAGAACTCTTTGGTAACCACCTTGGGCAGCGTAATGAGCCGGCGATATACCGAAACAATCACGAGTTGCATTTCGAGCGTTCACTGCGAGCAATTTCTCAACAATGTCGAGTTGACCGCGTTGTGCCGCGTAGTGCAACGGAGTTCGAGCATCGTTATCAAATGTCTGAAGCGCTAACAGGCACAGTTGAAAGCTGAGCAATGTATTGTCGTGAACCAATGTGTTATGGTTGTACTGATAAACAATCTTAGATCCAATGGCATGGTGAATGGGTTTGTAAAACTCAAAAAATATCGCTCATTATCGGAAAATTGGTGACGATTCGAAATTTTTTTGGTGTGAACGTTTAGAAATTCGAAAGGCTAATCGGATGTTGTGATTATAGGATTGGATGCTATACGATTGCAGAAATTCAATGAATTGTTCATGAAAAGGAGAGAAGAAAATAATTTTGGATGGACGGTGACTACAGCAACAATGGAATCGAGACACCAAAAGAAAATTTGTTGGTTAAAAAACCTCAGGTGGACAAAGCAATTCATTGAGAAGCACATCAACAACGTTCACGTTACAAGCCATAATCGCTAAGTGCAACGCTGTACGTCCTCGATTATTACGAGCCGTTATTGAAATACTCTTACGCCTTCCGAGTAGTCGAACACAATCTTCGGCTGAAATTACTAACGTTTGGTCCCACTATTACACACACTATGAATGCATAGAAGGTGACTGAGGAATCTTAATTCAGAAGGTTGTGAGCGTTCAGACAATTCGACCAAAATGATCTAAATTTATGAGCTTGATCTTCGAACGCCTTTGAGGGATATCACACAACGATTGTCAGACTTCATTCAGAAAATCCAGTGGATATTCATTGTTTTTCATTAATAGGATTTGAAAGATAAGCGGAATAAAGACGTGTCGAATTTCTTAGTGTACCTCCAGCATAAGTACTGGCTGCAGCACACATTAACGGTGTATGACGAGCGTTATCCTTCTGATCAATCGGTAGTCCTAAACGTTCGGCCAACAATATCTCACAACATTCTAATCGAGCACATGAAGCCGCATAATGCAGCGGTGACTGACCCATACGATCAACGCATTTATAGAAATTATCATAGTCCGTTATTGCGTTGATAAGCATCTAGAAATAGCTAGTTGCAATTAACTGAAATGATTTCACAAAGTTTGACAATGAATGAATACGACAGTTTAGCAAACCGTCACAAATATATTTTTGAGTTATTTCACCATGTTCTAGTGGTCCATTTGCAATATTTCGAAGCAACAAATTTTTGACGAAGTGATAACCTTCAGAAGCTTTGTTCGGCCAAGTTTCGCCGCTAAATGAATTGGTGTAACATCGTGGCGATCCTTTTGCAAAATCCACGGTGTTTGTTCAGTGCTTTGAGGTACGTTCAGAATGTATTTCATCGACTTGCGTGCATCACCAATGACGGCCCAATGAACTGCTGTATCGCCATTGTCGTCGCCAACCGAAAATTGAACACCCTTCCTGAACAACACTAGTAGATGTTGCTCAAGTTTCTATAGGTACTCCTTCTTTACAATTCCAGCGAAAATAGTTCGGTCTGGCTTAGGAAAGCAAGTAAATTTCAGCATGTTCAGTGGTGAATGTTCAGTGATCCATTAGCAAACGAAGTTCAAACAATAATTTTCGCATGTTTTCTCATAGGCTGAAATGTGACAAGAAACTATCTTAGACAACCAACTTGTGCAGCATCTGCACAATGCGAAGACGATCGTGAAGTACCGCAAAGGTGAGTAATGAACGACCACCCTTTGTTCTCAAGTCGAGTAGCTGAGCGTTTTGTTTGATCAACTTTTCAAATGAGGTCACATCATTCTCGCAGATGGCCCTTAGTGCTTCACCGAAATGCTGACTGCTACCAGTGGCACTCATTCTCTACTCACATTTACCAGTCTCCTTCTTTTCGATTACACCAATACACCATTAAATACACAAGCTATCCTGAATGACTCAATATGAAAGTTATGCCAAACAACCATTTTGTTTGAAAAACTCACGGACTCGATCGCAAAAAGTCTATGTTAATCGCTATCCAGAACCTCTTCAAAGACTCATGCAAACACCTTATTCAGGCACTATTCTGGGATAGTCGGCTCTGAAGTATTCTGATTTTTCATTCTTGCAGAGCAATCGAAAGGCTTTGCGGCTAACATTTCGACAAACCATGATGATTGCTTTCTTTGGAAGTCTTACTGATGTTCGGTGCATGCAACAGACGAATCGATGCTATACAATTTCAATATTATTGCGACAAGCGTCATATGACCATGATTATAAAGGAATCATTCAATGCCCTAATTGATACGGAACGAAACTTGTAAAACAAAACCAAAAGTGAATCAATAACAGAGTAATTGTTGTAAATAGCGGCTGAATGAAATCTCAGTCCGAAGAGATAATAATTTAAAACATCATCATGTTAAGTGAGAAAGGAGAAGAATGTCACCAACATTTCACTCAAAGAAACCGGTTAACGATTATTGCACTAATCAATTCGAAGCGTTGCATTTCCATCGATATTATGAGACGACGTTCTTGATCGTATACAAAACATAGTATTTGCGTTTTATTTCACTCAAGAAATGTTCAGTTTTCTTTGCAAAACAATTCGTTTAGTTTGCTTCAGTTAAGCTATTTTTAAGTCTCCGGAATCTTGAACATGTAGGCATGGCGAAGCCATTCGATGAAGCGTTCATATCTTCTTGATGACCACATCCTTGCTCAAACAAAGCAGCAGCTAATGATGGCGTTCTGACGCAGATGGGTCCTAAGGTTGGACAGTTTCTGCGCATTATTTCGGTCGGTCACTCATCTGTTGTTCATTCCATTTATTATCATCATTAGTACTTCAATCTTGTATTGTATTAACCATTGTTCAAGGATGCAAATCGCAATGCACACTCACCTAGTATTGTTCAATTAGAAATATCGAAATCTATTTTACTGCTCGTATTATTAAAATTCAAATTGTGTTATTATCAGAAAGCAGTTTTATCTGCCAAACACGGTGATACGATCCTATCATGAACAATCCTAGTGGCGAAATTAATCCTCTCAAACATGGACGTTATTTATTGATCATTCATTTGCGTGAACAAAACCTAGTTTTTGCAGTGTCCGTAGGTGGTTGATACTATTCACCAAAGCCACAAATTTTCCTTCGGTGATACAAAACAGCACATGAAACACGAGATAAGATCTCATCACAAATTGCTCTGCTTATAGATGATGTGTTCTTACGCATCGACCATTTCAACAGTTCACCTGTCAGAGCAATCGTAGTGGCTATTTACTGGTTACCATTTATTGGATTTTGGAAATTCACATTACTTCGGTATCTATGGTGTGTGTCTTTTCACCAGAAACATGCTCGGACAGTTGAATCGATTTTGCAAGCAAGGAACTGCGGTCAAAAATTTATCAAAATGATAAAAGTTTGCATGCTTCAACAGAGTTTTCAACACAAAGCATTCTGTGAAATATTATATGTGACTGTCAACAAAGAACAACAGATGAATACGTAAAATGATGCATCATAGTTCTTTCAGCGATCACTTCCATAAAACATCACAACAATGATTCACTGCAGCTATCGTGATACAGCAGCAACCTGTGACTGGTGGTAGACCTTCATACTCGAAGGTAATGGTCTAAAATTGTCAGGTTGTATGTTAGAGTGAGGTCGGTTGCCAGCGAATTTCGTTCGGGGGGCACCGATTGATTTTCAAGGAACATCCGGACTAGGGTAACGACCGAAATTTTGACTAAGAATTTTCGGTGTCCACGGACCAAAATCGAAAGCGGCTGTTCGGTTGTGGGTTATAAAAAACGGCATTCAGCCACCATTGACAGAAGTAATTTTGAGAGCCGATCCATCGCGGTCCATGGTTACCGATATTTGGTTTTCTATGGCCATTAACAGATTAGTAATCTTCGATGTCGGTTGGTGACCACCAACCGA